ACGGCAGCCCTGGTGAGGGAGCAGGATTGGCAGGAGCTGCTGCTGGTGGGAAGTGGGGTGATACATTTGCGTAGAATAAGGTTTCTGCTGGAATGAAATGGCTCGGGGAGAGGATGCTTGATGGCAGTGGGACCAGTGAGGGGTCTCGCCTCCGGGGAAGGAAGGGGCTGCAAGGGGGTGGTTTGTGCTGTCCTGTCTCTGCAAGCAGAGGAAAACAAGAAATTGCCCCAAGTCATGAAGTGCATCTGGAGTCCCTGCTGGGTGCCTCTTCCTGTGGGATCTGGGGGCGGGGAGGGGACTTGACAGCACAGGCAGCACGTATCTCCAAGCAAGGTGAGGGAGAAGATCCTCTTCTGGGGGTGCGTTTTCCTGAACAGACCTGTTCCCCTGCCTGTAATTCCTGTGTGTGCAGCCACCTGAGCAGTGCTGGAGCTGCACAGGAGCAATGCAGCCTTTGGGCTGGCTCCTCTCCCCTCACCCATCCCCAGGGAGCAGTGGCAGAGGTGATCAGGGCACCAGTGTCCAGCCAGAAAGGCAGCTGCTCTCGCAGGCCTCTGGGATGGGGACATCTTTTGTATCCAGCTCCCTGCTTGGCCATGGGAACCAGTGCAGACACCCCATTCCTCCTGCCTCAGGTGGGGCAGCACTGGTACCCCAGAGGCTGCCAGTTCCCAGAAGGACCACACTGTCACTTCGTGGGGGGCACTTCATGGGCTTCAGGATGCCTGTGGATGGGTTTTTTCCTGCAGGATGCTGTCCCTGCCTCCCCTGCATGCACAAACGTTGTTAATCCCAATGGCTGCTGAAGCCATGGGCTTGTTGCAGATGCAGCATCCCTCCTCGTGTGGTGGGGCTGCTGTGAGAGCTGAGGTGCTGTCTGGCCCTAGACTGGTGCTGTCTGGCTCCTGGAGGTGCTGAGGCAGCAGCTGGTGCTGGAGGACAGAGAGGGAACAACCATTTATGGCTCTTGAAATGCCCAACACTTCAGACTTGCGGTGTAGGAGGGAGGGCAGTGGCCTTGGCAGCACCTGGGCCATTTGTGTGGCTCTGGTGGCAGCAAGGCTGGTGGCACAGTGGTGTGTAGTGATGCACAGAGGTGCCAGCTGGTGCTGGGATTTTTGGGGACCATTGCACCCAGCTGGAGGACGCTGCTCCTCCTCACAGTGCTCGCCAGGGACCCACCAGCTGCTCCCACAGGAGTTGTTTGGCTTTGCAGGAGAAATTAGTGTTTGGCAAGCCCCTGTGCCTTGGGACTGGCAACATCTGCCACCTATGACGGACGTGCCAAGGACAGGAAAGTCAGGAGGCAGCAGGAGAGTTCTGGGAAGCCTAGGTACTGTGGCTGTCCTTTGTGGTGTCTCAGAAAGAGCTGGCAACTGGTGGCTGTGGTGTGAGCCTGCTGTGCTGTGGCTTCCTCCCATGCTGCCAAAGCACGGGGTGCTGTGGGAGGTGTGAAGGGATGCAGTGGTCACCCATGGCTCCTGCCCAAGATCTGCCTGCCCAGCCCGGGCTGAGCAGCTCCAGCCCCTCCTGGGAACGTGGGGGGGAACAAGGGGCCTTTGTCTGCTATGGCAGAGCTGGGCTGGCCTCACGCCCCAACCCCAGCACCCCACAGGGCTGGGATCTGCCAGGCTTGGCTGGCAAGTCCTGCCTTCAGGATGGGGGACTGTCACTGGGTGCCGTGGTGTCCCTGGCCCTGCCATCCCTCATCTGTGTGAGAAACCCCCCTGGTCCAAGGAGCTGGGGCTGCTCGCTGCTGTCATGAGAAGCTGCTGTGGCCTGGCCCCCCATCCCATGGGCCATAGTGTCCCCTATCAGGGTCCTCTCACAGGGTGCTTTGCAGGGTGCTGATAAGCCCAGCTGTGCTCTGCTGCGGGTGCCGGGGCCGCACTTCTCTGCAGAGCAGGGTCACCCCTGCTGCACCCTGTCCCTGCCTCTGCCCTTCCCGCCATGGCATGTCCCCCCTGGGGACACCAACATGTCCCTGGGCTGCAGCAGGACTGTGCTGGGGGTGGCTGTGGCAGAAGCCACCGTGCTGCTGAGTCACACTGGGGACGTGTCCGGGCTGGTGGAGGCGAGATGAGAGCCTGGCCCAGCCCCTGGCTCAGCCCTGCAGGTGTTTGCTGCCGGGGTGGGAAAGGCTTCAGCTGGTGTAATCAGTGCCCAGCAGCCACGGCTGCGTGAGCTGGAGCAGATGGACGGGCTTGATGATAATTGTGCTTCCCTGCTGGCACAGCTGAGTCTGCAAATGGGCTCCTGCTGGTGCTGGGGGAGCTGTGCTGGGCCTTGTGCTGCAGAACAGGGCTCTGTTGGGTTTATAAATCCCTGTGCTGGCAGCTCACCCACAGGGTGTGGGGCTCTGCAGGGAGAGAGGTGCCTTTGAGGGGGAAATGATGCTGAAACAGCAGCCACAAATGCAGTGTTTTGCTCGGTTTTCCCATCCTTTTGGATGATCCCTTTGCCAGCTCTTGCCGTGGCCAGGAGGTGATGCCTGTGCAGAGTGCCAGGTTGGCATGGGGCCCTGCTGCCGTGTGAAGTCTCCACAGTTTGGTGAGGACAGGGACGCTCTGTCCCAGCCCAGACCTGTCTGTCAGAGGTTTTGGGCTCAGCCATCACGGAGCTGGCAGCAGCCATGTAGTGCTGGATGGGCACAGTGCTGCTCCTGCCCCAGCATCCCCTCCTCTCCCACCCAGGTGGCCTGGCCGGAGGGATCGAGATCTGCATCACATTCCCCACCGAGTATGTGAAGACCCAGCTGCAGCTGGACGAGAAGGCCAACCCTCCCCGCTACAAGGGCATCGGTGAGCACACGTCTGGTGCCCTG